TCCATCCCTTCATCCCCCAGCCTGTATGGATACTGGGCTTGCCCCGACCCAGGTGCAGGACCTTGCACTTGGCCTTGTTGAACTTCATGAGGTTCACCTGGGCCCACTCCTCAAGCCTGTCCACATCCCTTTGGATGGCATCCTGTCCCTCAGGCATGGCAACCGCACCACTCAGTTTGGTGTCATCTGCAAACCTGCTGAGGGTGCACTCGATCCCACCGTCTACGTCATTGAGGAAGATATTAAATAATATTGGTCCCAGTACCAACCCTTGAGGGACATTGCTCATTACTGGTTTCCACTTGGACATTGAGCTGTTGACTGTAACTCTGGACATGGCCATCCAGCCAATTCTTTATCCATCTAAGGAATCATGCTTGTGGTGAACCCTTCATGTGGAAATAAGAGGAGACGGTGATACAAAATTCATCAGAGAGCTTTTTTCCCCCCCACCAGCCTTTGTGCTATTATAGAAAAATTCATCTGTGCCATTGAGGGCACTTCTGTGTTGCAGGATCAATAAGGTTGAGATTTCTAGAGTGGCACGAGGGATTTAATCAGCAATTTTAATAGAAGCTGGAGCTTAAAGGCTTGCTATTGCTTTTAAAATCCCAGCCTGCTGCTGAACTGCGAAGCAGCAGAAGCACGGGCCATGCCAGCCTCCTAATCCTAATAAGGTGTTAGATAGTCATAATTAGGCTTTAAAATTAGCTGTCAGACATGCTTTTCCGAGAGGAGCCTCCATCATCTTGTGTCACTAAAACTTGATTACGTGTCGTTTTTACCTGCAAAGTGTTCTGTTTTTTCCCAATTTATAAACATGGAAGATTACGTCTGCCTGGACTATTATGTTTAATATTTTTTTTAATGTCGTAGCTAAATTGTCTGTGATTCAACAATTGGGAAACGGGAGCAAGTGTTAGCATTCAAGGCAGTGAAACCACACAGCCTTGAGCTGGTCCGCATCTCCAGACGCCCATCAGAAATGAAGCGTGATGCCGAGAACCAGCAGCCTCCAAGGTCTTTGTTTGAAAAAATGTGTTCAGAATAGAAAAAAAATCCATAAGATATTGAAAAACAGGAGGTTGGTTGGTCTGTAGGTGATGTTGTTGGGTTCCTGGAGGACCTCATGACGGAGGAGTCTCCACTTCTGCTGCTATGGTGAATACGGCCGTTTCGAACCTGCATTTCCTCTCGCTGCTTCCATCTCTCATTTGAAGAGAGTTGCTTTCCTGCTAATGTGAGTCAGAAAAAGGGTCACAGCTATTCCACTGTTTAATTAACACATTTTTTCCAATCTGCGGTAATCAGGAGGCGGTGAGATGCTGTTTGGGAGTTCCTAGAAAGCTCCTTGTTATCTTCACGCTGTTTCAGTGCTGGGTGGATAATATGGGATATTAGCAGACTTGAAATCTCAGCCTTCATTAATTGCTGCCCTGAACACTGGTTGAGTAAATTAGTTCATTATATTTGAGTGTTTAGATGTCTTATCGCTGGGCTGAGCCTTCACTTCTCCTCTCCATCCAACACAGTCTTTGGGGCCCATTTGCTCTAAGGATGATTTCTCCCAGCCCTCCTGCAAGAGCTGGCTACCATTTCTCACCAGCCATGCCAGCCCACGTGCTTTTCCTTGCTCGTGTGAGCAGATTTTTTACCATTTCCACTTTTTTTAACCATTCATCAAGCTGTGACCAACACCTTGATGCCTTCACGGCACACTTGATGCAGTCCAGGGTGTTCATGGCACCCGCTCAGCTAAAAAAAAGAACCCTTAAAACACAACTTTAAGTATTCTTGAGGATTTTTTCCCCAATTTAGCACTGAAGTAATAATGTTTCATGGAGCCTTCCTTGGAAACGCCTCTGAAGGTTGGGAATTCAGGTGCCACGTATCGTTGGTGTAGGGACATCCCGTCCTCGGGGCAGGTCGCACCTCCTTTAGATGCTGTACTTGCCATGAGGTCTGATGGTACTTCGCTGCCAGGTAACAAGAATTGGATTACGCAGTGTTATCATGGAGCTGCTTAAAGCCACCCCTTTCTTTTTGGAGAGCAAAATTGGTGGAGGGTATGAGGGTCGACCCCATATTCATCACAAGTTAACAGATAGGAAGATACCTCGAACGGAAGCAGAAGAGCAGAGATCCTTACGGGATGTCCTCACTCCAGGGAAAGCCTTTAAAAAAGAGAGACAAATGTGATCAGACTTGCATTAGAGGATCTTGAGCTGGTACCACTGGGTCTTCCTGCAAGGAAAATACAATTTTATAAGCGCCAGACAACTCAGAACTTAATGCAAATAGCAGCAAAAACCCAAAGTGACACCCACAGCCAGCAGGTCAGCTGATATCACTTTATCCTTTAGGTCATTTTTTTGTTAGGTTAGGTTTATTTTTTGGGACAAGTTTCCATGTTTTGGAAAGGAGCCTTCATTTTAGTTTGTTCCCCATATACTCAGCATCTCCTAAATGCTACGAGATAAGTTAAGGTTTCTTTAGACCTTCGGTAAAGTGTAAATCTGGGACTTGGATGGTCCAGCTAAACAGCCTGATGGGATGATGGGGAAGACTGGGGGATGCTGAAGTCCATTTTCTTTTCCTTCCATTCGAACAGAAGACAGACAAAAATTGCAATCTGCCATATCAGGATCACAAATATTGCAGGGATCGTTTCCCCGGCTGCTCGCGCCTGCCTAACCGCTGCCCTCCCAAGCCCCCGCTGCTCCTCCTGGCTTGCCAGCAGCCTGCCGTGCCTGTTTACCGAGCAGAGCAAATGGCTTTTCTTCACGGCAATAAAGCAGATTTGCTGCTTTTGTCGCTAATGCAAATAGCCTGCGGGGAGCGGGACAGGTATAAAGGTGCTTGAGCATCACTTGGGGTTGCCTCTCCAACCTGCAAGGTGACCTGATGGTCACAGCCTTCCTTTGCAGGAGAGGAAATGGTTCGGCACTATCCACCGTGATGAAATACTTAAGGGCATCCATCATTTTCACCTTAATATTAAGGTTTGGATCATCGGTGTTGCTGCTTTTCCAGTCATTGCTTGGGGACATGGGCAGGGGACAGCAATACTGTGCCATGAAATTAGATCCTCCAGCAATTAAATTCTGGTTTTGCCCATCACACTCCGAGCAAAAAAGGTGAAAGGACAAAAATCTGGGGAGGAGAGAAGGAAAAACATCATTCTCATCAAGTAGACGTATAGAGATGGGTAAGCAGGTGTGGGGATACTGCTGTCTTAGGTGATTTAAGTGCTGGTTGAGTCTCATCAAGTCATGCCTTGACCATTGGGAATACTCATCAGCTTTACAGCCCGGTGTAGGCAGCGTGGAAGAGCCTCTGCCGGGCTGGGTGGAGGACGCAGCCCCGGCTGCTGTGATCCATTAGCCAGGGCCTGGATGCTGGACTTGAAGGTCTCGGCTTGGTGGGTTTCATGGGTTGTCAGTAGATGCTGGCGCATCTCATTAGGTCTCCTCCATGCCGAGTGATGCCCAGTGAGCAGCCGGTGCATCATGAATGGGTTGCCGTGTGTCGGGTGGACTGGCTCTGCAGCTGTAAATCCTCCCCCTAACTTGGACTACTCTTGTCTTTGGCAGGGTACACTGCGGGGACTCCCTACAAGGTCCCACCGACCCAGAGTAACAACGCACCTCCTCCCTACTCGCCGTCTCCGAATCCGTACCAAACCGCTATGTACCCCATCAGAAGTGCCTATCCACAGCAGAACCTGTACACCCAGGTAGGTGCCTCGCCAGCCGCCACCGCTGCTCACCGCCTCACTCAATGCCGTGCCCAAGGTTCCTGCAGGGCTTCGTCCTTGGCTGTCAGGGCTGAGCACCCATGTCCTGGTGGGATGGAGGTGCTCATGGTGGGGCTTGGTGGGGCTCCGGGATGCTGGGGTCTCTTTCCTGCCTCCTCCGTTGGATCCTCTGGATGAGACATGGTCTTGCATGGTTGTCGGTGTGCAGCAGAGTCAACACAGTGGCATCCCTGTGGCTCGGCCATGTTGGGAATCTGGTGCCTTCCCCCAAAATCACATGCCTGACTGCCAGGGCTTGCTGGCTCCAGGATGGTCCCTGCACCCATCTCTCCCCACCCTCCCCAGCTCTCAACGCTGCTCTTCCCCAGGGCCACAGATGAGTCTGGGTCACCACAAGGTCCACTTGCTGGCGGCTGTTGGCATCTCACTCAACTTGCATCACCCTCCTGTCACCTCCCATGGAAAAGTCCCTGTGTCACCTTCACCAGCACAAGCTACTTCAGGCATGACCCAGATATGTGTCCTCGTGGAGGAGCTCCTCCCTGAGCACCTGAATGGGTTTCCAGTACCATCCTCTCTGCTCCTGCATTGCCACCGTCTCCAGCTATATGCTGGGGCCAAGATCCTCCACAGGGATGCGATTTAGGGCAGATGTCCTCTGAAAATCACCTTGATGCCCCTTCCCACTGAAGATCACAAGCTCCTCAAAGCAATCTGGCCCTACAGCTTCCCTAGCTTTCCCCCTCCACTTTAATGTCAAAAAAACAACTTCTCCAGCAGCTACAATGTCATGGAGTGATTTCTCCATGCCTTGCTGAGACCCGAGCATCTCCTCTTGCCGATTTTGTCCGCCATCACCTCTCCTTCCGTTAACTGAGCATTGCATAAACTGCTGGGGACCAAACCTATTCCTGCCTGCTGGTTCTTCTCTGATCCCGGCCGCAGCGGGAGGTTGGCATCCGCTAGCAGTGCCCACCAGCCAACCTGAGATGGAGCAGATGCCATTTCCTCATCTCTGCTTCCCAGGGACCGGCAAAGAAGAGTTTTGACAGCCTGGAAGGGAACAACAGAGAGAAGGAGATGCTTTGGTAGATCCTTTCAGCACGTTGCGCTTGCAGCTCTCACCGCCTGGGATGTTCCTTCCCCGCAGCTGATTTCTCAGTCACCTTTTCTTCATGGGCCTAATTTATATTAGCATGTCCTTTCCGTTCCCCAAGGAAATGCCTTTCAGCATCTGCAATTTGTCCTATCAACCTTTGTAGCTCCTGAAAGAAAGAAGTAATTTAATAGTTCACCTGCATCTCCTTCTCCCCTTAATCCATACCTTCAGAGGCTCTCTAACATCTTTCATTAATGCACAATAAAATCTCCCTTCGTTGTTTTAAACCCTCTAATCTTTCCAACCCTCCCTGGTTTGCAGGTACCGGCGGTGTCCCTGCCTGTCCCAGGGACGGCAGTTCTCTCCCTTGCGCCGCTCACGTTTCAGGCCTTTCATTATTTTGGATGTGGAGCTTTTTCTGTTGGCTCCTTTCTTTTATTCCTATCCATCCTTTCCCCCTTGTTTCAAAACCTTGCGGGTCTCGGAGCCCCTCTGTCTGCTGTTAGAAACCCAAGAAGACAACACGCTTCCCGGATCCAAGCAATCACCTTGGGATCAGCCGAGAGCCATGGCTTCTCCTTTTCTTCCATCTCTTGTTCATTTTCTACACCAGCAGCCAAAGTCTTTTGGGTCCAGGCCCCATTTCATCCCACCAAACAGAGGCAGCATCATTTGTCCCTGACGAGGTGACTCCCTGAGCCGTGATGCTGATCCCCTTCCCAGTCCTGTTGGCCTTCATTCATCCCGGGGACCATCCCCCATGTCCACAGGTTCTGCTTCATCCTTGCTTGTCCAGGTCTCCAGGCACAGGAGCTTGCTCATGGGAAGGACCAGCCCTTTGGTGATGTCCCATGGGCAGCTCTTTGTACCAGCAGCTACGCATGATGCCTGCTTGTCTTAATATTGCTTCTGCAACAAATCTGGAGGAGCTGAGGGCTTGAAGTCTTGAAGTGAAGGACTGTCACAGCGGAGTCGCTCTGGGCTCGCGATACGGGCTGAGTTTGGGAACCTCCTATGTCCCATCATCTGGTGCAGGGGGTAGGTGCGGGGCTGTGCAGGACCGGCCCCGAGAGCATCACTGCTCACTCCACAGCAGGATCTACAGTCGCAGCTGATGTAACTCCTTGCTGACAGCACGGTCTGTGTTACCAGGCTGACACCCACTGCACACAGAGCTCTAAATAAAACACCGGGCTTCAAGTCACTGCTTTGGCTTGTGCTTTCAACCAAATGACAAAGACGATGGTGTTTTTTTTCCCTTCTCAAACAGGGAGCTTATTATACCCAGCCAGTGTACGCGGCACAGCCTCACGTTATCCATCACACCACCGTGGTTCAGCCCAACAGCATCCCATCGGCCATCTATCCGGCCCCGGTCGCTGCGCCCAGGACCAATGGTGTGGCCATGGGGATGGTCGCTGGGACCACCATGGCAATGTCAGCAGGTAAGAAGGAAAATCTTTCCATGTTCTGAGCCATAGTTTCATCTCTCGGGTGGGACGTATCCAAACAACCTATGCAGGAGACTTGTCCTGGATGAAAAACTCTCTGTGCATCCGACGTGCTGCCTGCAGCCTTGCAGGGTGTATCTGGCAAGTGGCTGCAGAAGCGCCTTGCACACAGCTAATTGCAGTTTCGTCTGCTAGTTTTGCTCGGTGGTTACAGCTCCTTTGCAGGCAAAAAGCAATTAATTTGCTCCTGATACTGAGCTAACTCAGTTTTTAGGTTAGCAGAGGAGACCTTTCGGTTGGCTGACTATAGAGGGATGCACTCTTGCAGCCTTAAATATATTATTCTTTCCTCTGTTCCGTAAGTAGAGGAATAACCAGGTTTGTCCATCTTCAAATACTGTTGTATTTCTATCCTCAAGTTCCTTTTTCAGGATACTTACGGTCTTGCTTTCATTTGACGAAATGAACATTAACCTTGGTTTACGTATCCCAAATCCTCTACATTTTATGTGCAGGATTGTTTCAAACTGCAATTAATTGATAGCACATTAAGTAAGGATATGGGCTGGTTTTGTTTTTTCTAAAGCCTGTATTTCTCTCATTAACAATTCTTAGGATTGTATATTGAATTATGCCAACTAATGCATCATTCATCCTTTTGCATCTGCATTAGCTGTGAAACAGGACTCTGTTATGGGACGCAATCCCTGTTGCAAGCAGAGATATTGCAGCCTGGGTATGACAAGAACCACTCTGACAGATTTACTGTTGCTTATCGTTAGAAGCGGATAGATGTAATTAATGCACGTGGGATGTCTTAAAATTTCATTAGTAGCATTTGCAGAGAGATACCCAGAAACTGAGAAGGTGTTGCAAGCACCCAGAACAGAGTAGTTTGGGGCTGTATTCTCCCTCCCCATGTCTGCTGAAGGCACCGTGCAAATTCTTACCTAAAATCCCTCTGCGTGACTAAAAGAAAAGAGGCTGCACCGGGCAGTCCCTCTGCTCCATGGCTGGGAGAGGATCACTCCTTCTGCTGCATCCCAAGGCTCTCGGGTCTGTGGGCTTAAATGAAGCAAAAGAGCTCCACTGCCCTTGGGAGATGAGTGGCAAAGCTCATCTTAATTTTCCCTGGAAGGTCTGGGTTTTTTCTCATCTCCTTTTGCAACCCTCATCCCTTCCAGTTTGGTCCTTAGATGTTTCAGATCACTGCAGTTATCTGCTGTTGCAATTTAGCCCAGCGCCTTCAGCAGGTGGAAGATGTCAGCAGGTTAGTGGCTAGCTCCGCTGCTGGTCTTTAGGGACAAGGAAAATTGGAAAAAGATGAGTTAAGGGCTGAAAGTAGCATGGAAAATATGCTGGAGCTTCAGGTGGGTTTATTCCGTTCATGGTGCTGGCCGATACCAACCACATGAGTCAAATGCCTTCGATTCAGGTCTCACGGGCAGAATAATATTTGGGAGAATTGAAGAAGAAAAAAAAAGGCAGCTGATGCTGTGCCCACCCCTCAGATGTGGTCTGCAGCACTGTACCCTCGGGGTACCGCTCCCCTGATGGAGCTCTCCTCCTTGCTAAATATTTCTCTGTGCCGTTGCAGGAACCTTGTTGACCACCCCACAACACACCGCCATCGGAGCACATCCAGTTTCCGTGCCAACGTACAGGGCTCAAGGAACCCCCACCTACAGCTACGTACCTCCACACTGGTAAACCCACTGGCCAATTCATGTAAGTGCTGCCTTTGCAGGTCTTTCTCTGCCCTTGTCCATTAATTAGCCACCGAGCACTGCCATCGCTTCTCTCCTTCCTACAAACCTGCTGAATCCCTTTGTCCGGGTGATGCTTTGACTCCAGAAGAGCCATTTATCCCTGCTCCCCGGCAGGGGTAGCTGCACGGCACCCTGTCATGGGGCTACGGAGGGTGTTAGCAAAGCACAGCGTACCTTGACCTTACATCTTGCTGCTGGGTGCATGCAAGGCTTTACCAGTAACCTCAGTGGCATCAAGCTGCTCTGAGTGTAATCGGGCACTGGGAGGGGGGAAATTTTCCTGCTTTAAGGGTTTGGATGGATCATGCTCTTTCATAGAATCACAGAATGGTTTGGGTTGGAAGGGACCTTCAAAGATCATCTAATCCAACCCCCCTGCCACGGGCAGGGACATTTTCAACTAGACCAGGTTGCTCAAAGCCCCGTCCAACCTGACCTTGAACACTTCCAGGGATGGGGCATCCACAACTTCCCTGGGCAACCTGCTCCAGTGTCTCACCACCCTCACAGTAAAGAATTCCTTCCTAATATCTAATGTAAATCTACCCTTTTTCGGTTTAAACCGTTACACCTCATCCTGTCACTACACTCCCTGATAGAATCCCTCCCCAGCTTTCATATCACTTGAATATGTTTTTTTGCCCCTGCTAAAACGTGCTGGGAGATCATCTTGTTCATTAGCACCGGGTTTGCGTGCAGCTGCCTGCACCCTGCCTTGTTCATTAGCACCGGGCTGGCGTGCAGCTGCCCGCAACCGGCTGCAGGTTCCTGTCGCGCTCAGGATCCCAGAAATCCCAGCTGCTGGTTTAAACACCCTCCGCATGTTGCTGGAGCCCTTGGTCCATCATGCCCAATTAACGGGCAACGCAGCTGATGGGAACACATGATGCTGCACGGGGAGGCAGCGTAGATCTCATCCAGCCCAGGGGGTTATCTGAAATCTCTGCTTGCTGCATACGTTACGCTGGGCTAATCCCGCCCATGACAAATTGTTGCGCCATTAGCAGAGAGCATCCCATCTGCATATTTTTAATCCTGTGCATTTTATACCACGGGCGAACTGCTCCTTTCTCAGCTCCCTGCCCAAGAAATTGCCCGCAGAGCGGCGCGAGGGATGGTTCAATCCTGTGTGCATCAGCTATACGTGCTGCACGCAGCGCAGGGGTGCAGAGGAGAGGAGAACAGCCCTGTCTGATCCTGCACCGCTTGCTTCTAACTCCTTGTTTTTAATATGTTTCCTCTCTTCCAGATCCGGAGTCAAACATTGTATGCAACTACACAAGTCTTACATCGGTGCTGTGGCCGCTGTACTGCAGCACCTCGTCTGTTTGCAAGAACAAAAGAAAAAAAAAAAAAAGTGCAAGGGTCACTTTATGCATTCTTTAGTGGTTTTTGTAAAAGCTGCTTTTTCTAATCTTCTGCCTTTTTTTTTTTTTTTTTTCCCCTCTCCCCCTTCCTCCTCCCCGACCCACATAAATTGTGTAACACACGTACTGACACTGAGCAATAGTAAAGTTCTCTCTTTGGTCCTATCATTTGAAAGCTCAGAATATTCACTTTTCCAGCATTGCCCAGCTGAGTGGTGCAAAGATCCCCCACTTTCTTGTTCGTTTGGGTTCTCTTTGTTATTTTTTTGTTGTCGTTGTTGTTGATGAGAGCCTAGATTTTCTTTGGCTAGTAAGAGTGGTTGATGTTCAGGGTACTATGTGAAAAGCACAGCGCTGGTAGGCAGGCTTATTCCGATTTGGTTTGGGTATTTTTAGTTGAATAATATAAATTATTTAATCTTCCATAACATATTACAAGAAAATTGGTGTCTTCCAGATAGCTGTCGTGATAGATTATAAATGCATTATCTGCAGTGAAATTCTGAACTCATCCCTTCTTTTGTAGGAGTAAGAGAATATAAATATAATTAGCGACGTAACACACTTGTCTTAGGAAGTAGGAGGACTGGTCACCATCGGGTCTTTGGTCTGCTTTTTCCAACTGGGCAACCGGATCTTGCGTGATGGGAAGAGAGCAGCGGAGAGATGCGTGCCCTGGTAGCATCTTGCACCTCTTGGGAAAATGAGATGCTCCCCATTGGCCGCATCCCGGGGCTGCGTGAGGGAGAAGTTCCTTCCTTGCATGGCTACCATTTGCGGGCAGAGAGGTGCCGGGCAGCTGGTGAAGGAAGCAAGGAGATGTCCAAGGGTTGGTCTGAAGAGCTTCTCCAGGTCCAGGGGTTGTTCTGAAGAGCTTCTCCAGATCCAGGGGGTTGGTCTGAAGAGCTTCTCCACGTCCAAGGGTTGGTCTGAAGAGCTTCTCCAGATCCAGGGGGTTGGTCTGAAGAGCTTCTCCACGTCCAAGGGTTGGTCTGAAGAGCTTCTCCAGATCCAGGGGGTTGGTCTGAAGAGCTTCTCCACGTCCAAGGGTTGGTCTGAAGAGCTTCTCCAGGTCCAGGGGGTTGGTCTGAAGAGCTTCTCCAGGTCCAGGGGTTGGTCTGAAGAGCCTCTCAATGTCCAGGGGTTGGTTTGAAGAGCTTCTCCAGAGTCTGGTGGCGTGGGGAAAGAGGGTTGATGGAGAAGAGTCTTTGAGGCAGGGCGAGGGGGGAGATGGGTGGCTTCACCTTGCACACGTGTTGCTGGCAGGGCTGAGACCAAACTGCAATGCCTCCGTGGCAGTCGAGATGCCCCCCCATTCTTTGGGTTACAGATGGGCTCGGAGACTTCCAGGAGAAATGTTCATCCAAGCACAATCCCAGCACCGTAGAGAAAGGCCGGAGAGTGGGATGATGTCCAGCTGCTCTGCTTGGCGAATGGGGAGAAGTGGGAGGAAGAGGAAGCAATAGCAATAAATATGTCGCCTTCCTCACGGGAAGGCACCTGAGAAAAGGCGAGAGCAAGGAAGGTGAACCACAGTTGACGTGAACTGGGCTGGGAGACAATGGGCATGTAGAGGCTGTGGGCATCGGGGTAATTTCTGGGGGTTTTGGTTTACCCAAGGGCGCGAGGACGTGAAGCCAACTGCGGTCGGTGACATCCCACCTTGGGGTGTCCAAGTAGAGCAATAAGTTGTCTCGAGGGCAGCAGCGAGAGAGTTCGTATTTGCAGACAATGCTTGCGGCCAGTTTATTTTTAAATCCTTATCACTAAACCCAGCATAGAAACAAGGTTTTTCTTCTTTTTTTTTCCCCTAAGACAAAAACATCGTTGGGTTTTGATTTTTCCCTCAAGCATGCCAAAAGAGTTACATTCACCCGGCGGCATGTTTGCAACTCTCACGTTTCTTAGGCTCCGAGGTTGTCACAATGGACCAAATCCAGAGCCTTTAGGAGGTCAGGTTAGGAGATGTGGATGGGAGTCCCTCACGGCACTGCCTGGTGTGGGTTTCTGACCCATGCATGGTGTTGAGTCAGTGCCCAGATGTCTCTGTTGGTTGCTCTGTTGGTCATGCCCGGATCACATCTCCAGATGGAGGTGAGGGCAGTGGAGACCAACACTGGAGGGTCACCTTGGCCGGGACATGGTGGTACAGAGGTCAGACTGAAGGGTCTTTCAGAAGAGCAAGGTGACCAGTTGTTGGCACCTGGGTGAGGCCTCCTTGCTCTTGCTGGTGTCTCCCAGCTTGGCTTCTGCTGCCGTTGGGAGGAGCTATTAGAGCTCCTTCCCATGAGAGTGGTCCAAATGGGCAGAAACAAGCTTAGGGACCCAAGAAGACTTTTCGTACCGCTGGTTGGTCCCGGGTGGTTTGTCAGGTCGAGTGTTGCACCGGTGCTTCTGTATGGGGGTCATTTGGTTGGTTCTGCTGGTTTTAAAGGAAAGCTCTGGTTGACCTTCCCAACCTCAAGGGGAACAAAGTGGGTGAAGACTGAACAGCAGTGCTGTGGGGTGGGGAAGGTGGGTTTCTCCTGTGTAGTACTTTGGGTTGCACTTTGGATTCTATAAAAGGAAAAGAGGAAAAAAAATTTAAAAAGAGTAAATAATCAGAGGGTTGCCCCGTTCAGCTTGGCGAAGCCAAGGGTTAGCACGTAAAGAGCAACGGGACATTTGGAAATAACAATACTACGTCCTTCTTCTTTTGTAGCATGCTACAGTTAAACCTGGGCCAAACCCTGCCCAACAGATCACAGGAATTGAAGACCTCTCAAATACCCTTGTTTGCTCTCACTGTTGACTTCATGTTCTGTATTAGGAGCTGTTTATCAGCGTTGAAACACGTAGGATAGAGTAAGCTTTAGCCAACGTAACGGCACTACGATTTCCAGGGTCCGGCGAGCTTTGTTATCACAGCCCGGGCTCTGCAGAGGAGGACCTTTCCCAGCAGACATCGTCCTACCACTGGCCTAGGTACCTTTCACCCTTAATTATTTTATGAATGACTGCTAAAATTTTGGCCCATGGCTAGGAAGGAGATGCTAGGCTTTCTCCTCAAAGGAAAGAAAACACTAAAGGTGGGTTAGAAAGCTCCAGGAGCTGAGCATGGAGGATCACCCAGTGTTACTGCTAATGAGACCTGACATGGGGGGGTTTAGTTTTAATTCCTTCACTTGGATCAACAGCAGATCTGATGCTCCTCATCCCGTTAATGCCCCGGCAGAAATACTCATTAACTCAACCAGGGTGTGAAGAGGTGAAATATCCACTGTCTGTTGGGCAAGAGGCTTTTGTGAGCACATTTGGCAACCAGTGTTGGGTTTAGGCTTGGACCACTGCACGGCTCCAGGGCCACCACATGGCTCTGGGGCCCCCACACGGCTCCGGGCTTGGGTAGCTCCTTCCCAAGGTGGCTTCATGGGGCCGTGGTGGTGGGGAGATGCTCCCTGCCACCACGGGGGGATGTGCGGCTTGATGGCCCCCCGGCTCATGCCAGCAGTGACCTGCAGCCCTGTCCCCTTCACCGTGGAGGGACGTGGTTTTTCGGATAGATGGAAGGATGGGAGGAAAGCCCATGATCCCAAGCCCTTTCCTTGGCCAAGTCATGGCTTAAGTGAAGGTCCTGGGGAGGTCGCAGCCCCGTGGGGGACTCCCTTGGCGCGGGACACTGATAGGGGCCACCAGCTTCTCAAATATTTCACTCCAGCAAAGCTTTGCTGATGTTGGTTAAGGAGAAGGTTTCCCTCGGTGAAGGATCACACCAGGCGTTAGCAGGGAAGAGCAGGAGGGGTTAAACCATCCTTAGCAGGCTGGCAAAGCATCTCGGAGATTAAAATTCCAGCTAAAGAGGAAGGAAAATAACTCTCAAACCGCTTTTGCGACCATTAACCCATCCCTGCCGTTATCTTCGCTTTAAAACACGAGCTGTAATGCAAGATTTGGG